ATTTATTTATTTATTTTTACATCAAGGTGTATGCCGTGCCTCCAAGCTTTCTTACTCGTTTTGCTAATAAACGTTCTACGTTTCTTATTTATTTGGTTATATATTATACATGTTTACTCATTTCCAGTTTTGTATACCTATTTAAACTTTATATAAGTTATTTGTTATTTTATATTAGGCATAGCCTGCCCTATAATAATAAAATAATACAAGTTTTTTTGTGTGTTAATAAAAGTTCTATGTTTTATATATAGGCTAAAGTGAGTTTGACGTTGTATTTTGTGGTTGCATTCAAGCAATTGACGCTGAATTGCCGCTAATTCGAAAAAATTCAAACGAACAATTGCTTTACGCCGAATTGCCGCTATTTGAAAGTGAAAGTAAAATGTGCACACCGCTTTTACAAGTTATTTAAAAGCAAAGGAAAGCGATGAAAAGAGGAAACGCCCCTGCCCCCGCGGTATTATCGGTGTTGATTGACCGGTGGGAAAATTTCCTCACCGTCACAACCTTAATGTGTATCTGTACAGCTAATTTTGGACACCCAAGATATTTTGGTCAAACTGATCCCTAACACAATGGAAATAGATGGAAATTATTAAATTTCTCACATATTTTATATCTTTTAAGTCTCTGACTAGCTAAAATACAGTTTTTTTTGTGACTCTTTAGTGTTTTTCATAGTGTCGGTTTTTGGCAAGGTGCATGGAAACCAATGAAACTGACAGGGTTAAGAGTTGGTTTACCCAAACATGCTGTTAACCCTGTCAATCTAGAGCACGTTAGTTTAGAATGACTCCACTGAAAAAAAAAATGCTGTAGGATTTACTATAGCAATTTCTGAGTGAAAATTGTTTTCATTTCACAAATAATTACACAGGGTTTCTACAAATTTTAAAAACTTAAATTTAAGACTTTTTAAACACCTTTTTAAGACCAATTAAAGGAATAAATTAAAGGGAACAAAATGCGCCAAGTCTTGTTTTTTGAGACATTTATCAAAATGAAATGGAAAAAAATAAAACATAAGACAAATATCTGTCAATGGGCTCAGAAAAATTTACTTGATTCAAAGGGAAAACAAGCTTTCATTCCTCATAGACCAGGGGTGTCCAAACTCAGTCCTGGAGGACCGGTGTCCTGCAGAGTTTAGCTCCAACCCCAATCAAACACACCTGAACCACCTAATTAAGGTCTTACTAGGCATACTAGAAACTTCCAGACAGGTGTATTGAGGCAAGTTGGAGCTAAACTCTGCAGGACACCAGCCCTCCAGGACCGAGTTTGGAGACCCCTGCTCTGACCTAGACAGATGTTTGTAAAATAGTACTCCTGTAACTACAACTTCAAAATAATAATTTTACCATCCATGTACCTGAATCGCGTTTCAGAGTACGCTGCATCTGTTGTTTAGCGGCCACTCTCTTCCGGGCCACCTGCTCCAGTCTCAGCTCACGCGTCCGGCTCAGCTGGAAACGGAAGAACTTCCAGAGCAGCCATGATTGAGTGAAACACACCACGAACAACACCAGCAGCCTGCGCGTCAAACACACACAGCGTTATCCTCATGTCCGGGTCTCACAAGTACTACTATAAAAAAAAAAAAACAAGTGTGAACATCTGTCTCACCTTATAGAAAGAGTGTTGAAGTTTCCCACCTCCAAATCAAGTGTCTGGTTTTCCGAACGAGCCAAACCGAAGCCCACAGCCAGGAACATCAGAGTCAGAGTGATCATACGGGTCAGGACGAACCCGATGGACCACATCTCAAACCTACAAATACAATACAAGCACGTTTGCTGTTATTCAGAGATATTTTGATATACACCATGTCAAAAGTTTGGGGTCTCTACTGCTCACCAAGGCTGCATTTATTTGATCAAAAATGCAGTAAAAACTGTAATATTGTGAAATATTATTACGGTTTAAAATAACTGTTCTTTATTTGAGAATGTTTTAAAAGGTAATTGATTTCTGTGATCAAAGCTGAATTTTCAGCATCATTACTCTAGTCTTCAGTGTCACATGATCCTTCAGAAATCATTCTAAGATGCTGATTTGCTGCTCGGGAAACATTTCTGATAATAATCAATGTTGAAAACAGTTGTGCTGCTTCATATTTTTGTGGAAACCATGATATATTTTTTCAGGATTCTTTGATTAATAGAAAGTTCAAAAGAACAGCATTTATTTGAAGTATTCTGTAACATTATAAATGTATTTACGGTCACTTTTGATCAATTGCATCCTTGCTGAATTTCTCTTAAAAAAAAAAAAACAAGTGCATGTGTGAAAGTAAGTATGGCTTACATTTTGTGGTGGTTTTCATCAATAAAGTAAAACAGTCGAGACAGATGGAAACCCATCTCAGAGAGATACTGCAGAAACAACAACACCAGCCCGACCCGCGTCAAGCTAAAGAGAGATGAAAAATACGTTAAATCATTAGTTTATTATATCTGATATTATAACCCAAATAGTATTTTAATTAAAAAACTGAAAGTATATATATATATATATATATATATCTGCCATGACAACTCTCCGAGAGTTTAGCATGGTAATATACATGGCAGTGTTAATTTGTTTGGTCTTGGTGGAATAGATCTGCTACGTACATCCATGACATGCTGCTGTGAGCATGTAAGAAATACTGCTGCTGCAAATATAACATATATGAGACAACCCCCCAACAAAGCAGGAGACACAGAAATGGCCAATACAACCAAATAGATGAATGTCGCGGAGTGTAAGAAAATAAACTGCTGCATTAGCATACATGCATATTATATTCACACAACAAATACCCCCCCCCAAACAAGCAGATCTATCGCCAAGACATATGTACCACTGCTGCTCCAAAGAGTCATGTGAACCGCATGTATTACTATCTATGTGTGGCTACGTTACCATGCCGACCGGCTTAACACTAGTGTGTTAACTACACTATGTGTAACAATAGATATATGCTGCAAGCTGATGAGAGAAGACCCCAGCATCCACCTGAGCAAAATATATTAAAGTCATTTGATAACTGTCATTGATATAACTTTTATACTCTTATTGTGTCATTAGGACGATAAAGAGAGCGTGACTCAAGACTCTGTGTGCAGCTGAATCAGCCGCACACTCAGCACAGCTACAGAAAACATCGACCTAAGAAAGAAGCAAACGCGAACACTGAGGTTAAGCAGCTAATATGGCAAACCGCGGTTGAAATGCATACAAACGGGAATGCTTATTTCATTTTAGCCTGTTTTCATGTGCTTAAAGGGTTAGTTCACCCAAAAATGACGGTTTAAATGCATACAAACAGGAATGCTTATTTCATTTAAGCCTGTTCTCAGTCGGCATGTCCTCAGAACAATTACAGACTGCTTGCTGCTGCAGCTGTATAAACACAGATACGTAAATGCTACTGCTTATACTTAATATTTCTCTCCTGCATACGAATGAAAGACTGTTAAACATGACACCTAGTTTAAACTAGTTTATGGTTGCTCATTTAGAATTGATTAGGCAGACCACGCAATATGCACAGTGACATGCGTAAAAGAGTATTCACTTATCTTAGATGTTGGTTTCAGATGCTTTCGGAAGCGCGCTGCAACTGCTACAGCGAGCACTAGCTGAGTATTCGAATGTTTGAGCAGCAAGCTCATTGGCTGCTGATACAAAAAGAACCAAATATATATATATATATATATATATATATATATATATTGATGGGTTTTCATGGGTTTCATGTGTGAGTGCGTCTATGGTTCATGTCTTACTTTAACAGATATGCAGCCAGAATGTGTAAGAGATAAAGACTTATGTACTGCAGCTGACGCGGGATTTCCTCCTAAAAACATAAAAACACAATACTTTCATTATATAGCAACACAATTCTATTATTATATAGATTAATTACTATGTATATACATCTATCTCTCTCCCTGCATCAAGGTTTGCGTTTTCCTCTCATCTTCTCTTACCTTTACATCCACTAGACAATCTCACAAAAAAACAAAAGTTACTCAAAATTAATTATAAAAAAAAAAGTTAATAATAATAATAATAATAATAATAATAATAATATCAATCAAAAATTAAAATCATAAAATTAAACATTTATTATTCTGCATAAATTAAATGTTTTTAAGACCATTAATACATTTTGCATAACTTTTTTAACCCAAATTATCATGGTTTAAAAAAAATAAAAATAAAAAATATTCAACTGTCCAAACTAAGCTTTTTATTATAAAATCTGCATAAATCCTATTCAACAAAACAACTGGAAAAATAGGTAATTTACAATTAATACATACATTTACGATGCCAATTTGAAGGTGAAATGATACCAAAATAATTTCAATATGCAAAAATTGTCCCAAAAATTTTGTCATTTTCTTAATGATTTTTTTGATATTTTTCTTTTGATTTTTGGATGAAATAAGAAGTTGTTCGTGACAGTTTTCATGAGATGCATGCTTTGTGTTTGTGTGTGTATGTACCTCAGGTGAACATGAGGATAATTCTCCCAAAGGCTGCTGGGATGCAGAAGGTATCCCTCCTGCCAATCACACAAATGATTATGCGACTTAAACAGAAAGTGTAATGTTTAATATGTTGTGTGTGAGATCTTACTCAAAACTAAGCTTTTTATTAATTAAAATCTGCATAAATCCTATTCAACAAAACAACTGGAAAAATAGGTAATTTACAATTAATACATACATTTACGATGCCAATTTGAAGGTGAAATGATACCAAAATAATTTCAATATGCAAAAATTGTCCAAAAAAATTAGTCGAACTCTCTATTTTTCTTTTGATTTATGGATGAAATAAGAAGTTGTTCGTGACAGTTTTCATGAGATGCATGCTTTGTGTTTGTGTGTGTATGTACCTCAGGTGAACATGAGGATAATTCTCCCAAAGGCTGCTGGGATGCAGAAGGTATCCCTCCTGCCAATCACACAAATGATTATGCGACTTAAACAGAAAGTGTAATGTTTAATATGTTGTGTGTGAGATCTTACTGTGGCGATGACGTAGAGACTCCATAAACTGGACACCAGATAAAACACACACAGCTGCCCAGATTCATTAAACTTTGTGTTTTTACTCTTTGACAAGTGAAGACGCCGGTTTACTTTCTGAAATGGAGCACACAACAGCCAAGAAAATGCAAATTAATAAAAAAAACGTGGTATGCACATTAAAGAACTTCAGCCGCTGCTTGCAAAAAATGCATTTATTAAATTAAAACTGCATTACCCAAAATGCATTGCAGCACTTACATCTAGCACATACTCCTGCACCACTGCGTGAAGGATGATGGTGATACAAAGATAGAAGAGGACAGTGGCACAGTCTTTCCATCCGTAAAGATACAGAGTCACCTCTCCATCTGAAACACACACACACACACACACACACGTTAGCTCATGTCAGTGATGCATCAGACATCAGCAGATCTGACAGACTGTCATGAATGTGTGTCAAACCTGCGCTCATGGTGCTGATGTTATACTGAGGCTGGATGAATAAAATGGCTGTTTTCGCTGTTGTCTGAAAGAGAGAAGAGAGAGAGATTGATGTTCACTGAATAAAAATCAGCTTTCCTGCACAATGATAAGTAAAACACAGACACACACGCATAGATCACACGGTCTATAATCATGTGCTTTCATACAGTTACAGCTGCATTTAGATAATTTTAGATTTATTACTCTTTTTCTTAAAACATTTAAAAACATTGTTAGAGACCTCCTGATTGTGTATTTTATTTGTATTTTAATTAAAAGAAAGACGACAATTAAATACAAAGACTGAACAAACCAGGGTTATTATAGCTAACTAAAACCTTTTTTTTTTTTTTTATAAAATAAACATTAACTGAAATAAAATATTAGTTGGCAAGGGAATATTTCTTGTTTTCATTTAGTTTAAATAACTAAAATGAAAATTTATTTTAAAAAAGACAAAAGCATACAACTAAATTACTAAAACTTTAAAAATAAAAACAGAAAATATAAAGATAAAAACTAATTCAAAATAAATTTAATAATCCTTTAATTTAATAACTATCATATATCTATAATAGTCTCAATGATACTAAAAACAACATGCAACTAACAGGGGGGAAATAATATAATAATATTTAAAGAAAAGTTGATGCATTTAAAAATAATTTAAATAGTTTATTAATTCATTGCAACCTGTTATACTTGGTAAATAGTGCTTATTATTTATTTACTACATCCTTATAAAAATGTTTATTTAAATTTACAAAAAAAAAAACATTCCAATGTCAACAAGTATAGCTGTTGCCCATTTGACAAATAAAACTTTGACAAAATAATAGCTTCTTCTAATAAATCTAGTGGAAGTGGTGTGCTCATGAATACTAGAAATATAATAT